TTTGCGCCATGTTCACTGCATGTGGGAAGGCGCTCTGTGTCCTGATTGGTTGTCGTCACAGGCACAAGTTATTTTGACTTAGGAGTTCCAGGTAAGGTGTGGAGAATAAGGTCAGGACATTATCCTTGGCTGCCTTTTCTCACACTTAACTGGAGATAGTCCCCTTAAGCTGGGTACTCACCCTGGGAAATACTCTGTGGTTAAGGGGAAGCTGCTCCTTTTCAGTGCCTGTTTGTTCCAGGTGGGGCTGAAAGTGTGCGGCACCAGCCTGATATAACAACGTATTCATACTCTGAATGAATTTCTCTGCTGTAAATCTGGATCAATAACATTGATTAAAAAAAAACGTATAATCTATTTCTTAACTGGTGCTCGCTCTGTGGGTGTTTGTGTGTGTTGTAGAGTAAGCGTCCAGAAGAGTAAGTGGGACAGCTCTCGCTCTATGCGCTACAACCAGGACGCTCAGCGAGAGGAAGGTAAAGGAGGACTCATTGATGCTTTTCTATTTTAAGCCACTGAGTCAGACTACGTTCTTTCAGTCTTGCATTAACCACTTTCTTTGCATGTTAACCAGACCAGCGCCGCATGGTGGAGATCATTGGCTACCTGACAAAGATGAGGTTTGGAGACCAGGAACAGAGTAAATCCAAGGATACTAAAGAGGTGGCTGTTTATTTACTGTACACCTAAAATGAGATTGATTGTCAGGGTGCAGGAAATGTGACTTTGACCAGGATTTATGGTCTTTCTTCACATCATGTGGTCAAGATTGGTGCTGAGCTGTCAGACCTGCTGTCCTTGTTTTTGCAGCTGCCTCATGTTGGATTGTTTTTCTTCCGGACTCTCTCTCTCTGTGTGTGTGTGTGTGTGTTACAGCCTGCAGGGGGGATCTACTCCAGACTTGAAGTGCAATTTAGGAGCTCCTCTCAAGTCAGACAGAGTTCAGAAAAGACACCCAGGTACATTTACAGTGTTACACACACCCGGGTGTCTCACTCGATAACTAAGCACTTCTTTCTTTACCTCTGCAGGTCTAAAACACGCTACGCTCAAATCCGAACAACATAAAGAAGCTAATGGGGGGAAAAAAGGCAGTGGAGCTGCTAAATAGACCAGCATTAAACCAGATGAAGAGGACAGAGACTCGCTCCTCAACCCCAGCACTTGTCAGCGCCTCCCACCCCTGCTTAACTCAGGTGACTATGTATGGATCACCGTCAACCACATCTCCTCTCACTTGGACCCGCTGTGTGTTTGTTCAGCTGCATCCAGTCCACAAAAACAACAAGCAGAACTGTGGACCCAGCTCGGCTCATTAGAAATGCACTTTGACTTTCCTCGGTGTTTCTTCAAAGACGGACAGGTGGGGATTTCTACAGAAGGCAACTGGAGAAATGTATGGAAGTCCACTCATGCCAGTGGGAAAAGAAAAAGTCATATTTCATAGCAATGGCAAACATGTATCTTATTGTAAAATACATAGTTTCTGTCTGTCCACCAACTCCTACACAATCAGGAGTTAATCAACAAAACTTGGCACACAGGTACATCTTAGGCCCCTATAAGTTCTTACCTATATCAGATACTGTGGTGTAATCACATTACACAACTACCTACTGACCAACTAAAAGGACACACTTTGTGTTTATGCACCTATCTCACCTTATACAAGCATTGTATCGTTTCAGTTTCACAACAGTAGCATCTCATTTACATCAGATGTTATAGTTGTGAATATTTTGATATGCAATATCATCGTGTTGCTTGGCAACCACCTGGTAACAGAATAAAATTACATTTATGTAGTAGAGCAGGACATGGGCTGTAGTAGTAAAGGTAAATTTAAAAAATAAAGAAATTACAAAAATGCCACAACAGAAAAAGTTTTGATGTAAAAAAAAAAAAAAATCATAAATCAAATTGACTTGAACTGAGGAAAAAAACTACATCAGGATACTGGAAAACATGTGTGTCTAAAGCTCCAATGACATTCTTTTAAATGCTAAATTGAGATCAAATTTAATTTTGAGGTTAAGAAGTAAAATTGAGATAAATGTATTGTATGTTCTATGAAAATCGGTCAAAAAGATGTCATGAGAAAAATTTATGAAAAAAAAAAATTTTTTTCTTAAACTGGCAGTGATTATCTTCCTGGATGGCTAGTTGAAGATGTTACCTTCTTAAACTGACATCTTATTTCCACCATAGTGGAAGGTCAGAGATGTGTCGCATGGAAATTTTACTGCATCAACTCAAATTTACACCCAGCCTTACATTTACACTGTAATTCTGCGTTCTGTGTAAAGCTCATTCTGTAGGTGAGAAGGATGCCACATTAATTCCACCAAGTTCTGCTAGAGATGTAGTTCTAGTCTTTCCTGTGTTTACTGGAACGTGACTGTGCCATGTACCACACCTAGGCCAATAAAATACAAGTGGCTAAATCCATTCAGAGCCTTATGTGAACTTTTGTTTCTGGTTTATATCCACTGGGTGGCAGCAAATCACACTGGGGGAATAACTATGGATTCCCAAGACACAACCTTTGCCCCAGTTTCGCCATGACCTTTCACCTCACCTTTCCAACAATCTACCAGGTGACAAATACGCACTTGATTGGTTCTCAGCTTTAGCAAAGAGTGTTAGTGTTGTTTCCTGTATGAAAATAAGCCAAAGCAGTTTGTGGAAACTGTGAAAGTCCCAGAGAGGGCTGGTATGTGCTACTGGGTTTGGGGTCACGCCGCTCCTCTCTGCATGAGAGGCACTGACCAATGGGCGTGCTAACCTGGCTCTTCCTGTAAGACTTACTCACAGGGGTATTAATAACCCTGGCTGCTCACAACACAGACCCAGAGCAGGGCTTAACGGGGCATAAAGCGTAGAGGAGGTGATGTGGGCTTTTTTTCTTCTCCCCCCGTGGGCGGGTGCTACCCCAGCTGTTCTATCTTCTCCTCAACAGCAGATGCCAAGAATGGCTGAGGATGTGGATCTGGGTCAGGAAGGGGGGGTGGGGGAGTCCTGTTACAACCGGACTGAATTATGGTCCCACAGAGATAAAGAGATGGTTGGATACGAGAGCATCAAAGCAAACACGCCAAACTGACAGAGATGCTCAGTCTGCCAAGACCTGCAGAACTAAAATGTTACTGCTGCAGATTCCTCTGAAGCCCGGCTCTGGGACACAAGGAAATGAAAAGTTGAGTGAAATTAGAATTCCATCTCCCTCTCTGGTTACATCAGAGCTGACAAGATTGTTGGGATTGCGTAAGACGAGCGTTTCAACTTTCAATGGCAGGGCGTCAGCATAACCTTTAATCTAATACCAGTATGTTAACAGGGATTAGTGGAGGAGTCCACTTACACAGCAGCAACCTTGGCTAAAGATGCCCAGGCAGAAACGGTTGGATGTCGCGTTGCCTGCGTGACGGATGCCATCCGTCATCACTGAGCTTTCTTTTTAGGATTTGTGTTTTCAAAACTTTTCAAAGCACGCTCCTCTTCACACGTAGATTTATGCGAGCTAACAGGAGATGGGACAAAATAGTCACTATGCTTAACGACCATGTGGTCAGAAATCATTTTCCAGAGTTGGTTAACAGTGCATCGGGTCAAAGCGCAACAAACCTGTTTAGGTTGGCTTTAGTTTCACACAACAAATCTGACACAAGATGTCTTCTACTCCAGCTGTCATGTGGCAAATCGTCTTTTATAGTAAGTGAAAGCGAAAGCAGCCTGCGCTGTAGGAGGTGGGGTTGGACAAGTAAACACGAGTTCTCAGAGTTGATGACTCAATCAGCTCACAACTGGATTCGGCACAACGTCAGTGTCATTGTTCAACTGTTGACACAAGAAAAAGCTAGTGAGTAAAGCTCTCACTAACAAAGGCTGTATGTTACAATGTTAGGTTAGGTTTAGAGTTTAGTCAGCTACGGCAGCGATGACTTAAGATTTAACAGAAAAAGTTTGCTGTATCGTAACACAATAAAGACTGCATTCTTACTCAGTATTGATCAAGGCCAACACTGTGAAGTCTTCAGACACACAAACAATATCTGCTCATAAAACTCGAGTCTCTGCTGTGGAATGAAGAGATCTGAGCGAAGGCAGGATTATAAAATTCTCACCTTTAATCAGTTCAAAAAGTTCACAACAAATGTAACACCTTGAGAAGGGAAATCTGCCATTAGAGATTGGATGCTTATTTGGATTTATACATTCTTCCTAATTAAACTCACTGGCAATTCATTTACTCTCTGGACAAAAAAAAAAAAGCTTTTATTTGGACAAAACTCAAACAGTTACAAATGAAAAATGCAAAAATACAAAATTAAATGTAAACCCAGGTTTATTTCTCATTTTGCTCTAAAGGTAGTGTCTTGAAGCACTACTGCATGGTAAACAATCTAAATTAGTACAATTCAAAATCTCCAAAGCCATCTGAGTTAAACAGGAGTTGTTATAAAGATGCAACCAACCAAAGAGCCCATAAATACCTCCGCCACTTCCTTAAAACATCCCATTAATGAAGGCTCACAAATGAGCAACAATCCTCTTAGAGGAAAACAAAACGCTGATGTCGACTAGGCGACAGCACACACGCGCACACACCCACAACAAAAAGAAATAACAGAATAAGAGGAAAAAAAATGTTCCCATGGTATTAAAGATGCTATACAATTGGGATGATATGCACATATTCGCTTTTGCTTTCCCTGAAAAAAAACCTCACGCTGGCAGCAGCAGCTCAGTTTTTTGGGTGAAGCAGAAAGTCATGAGCAACAAGATGCTGCTGCACGAGCAGCGTCTCTCAGCCTTCATTCATTTTCCATTAGATTCACATTCTCCCACAATGCCGTGGGGCACCAAACAAGCGGTGCATGCGCCTCTAAAAGACCACTTTCTGTCACACCACGGGTCTAGAAGCTTCTATGCCAACTCAACACATGGGCCGATTTTCACAACACCCCCGCCCACCCCTGCCCACACTGGGTGTAGAATAGATCTATATATAAACAAAGAGATGGGAAAGAGGGAAGAACTAGGAAACAGAACCAGGGAAGTGACGGAAACTGATCCAAAACAACATGGTTAACTTGTCCTAATCGTTATAACTTCATCATGCAGGTCTGAGAAGGGCCAGAGACCAACAGAACGTAAGCTAGATTAACAGTTTTGGAAAGTTATTACACAAAAAGTCTCCATAGAAAACGCAGATCATGTAAAAAGGACCACAGGGTGATGCGGTAATCATTTACAGAGTATTGGCATTATTTTGGTCAACAAACATCCAATGGGATGGCCCACGGCCTCCCACCACACTCAAGTGCCTCTCTTGGGTTTTGTTGTGTTTGCTGTGGTTAGGGTTAAGTTTGGAGTACTGTACAGTTAGGCTGAGCAGGCGCTCAGTCACACATCTCCTCTGGGATCTCGTGAGGATTCAGGATGCCGGGCACCGACATCTGGATCTTGTGTTTCTCCTCCTGGGCCTGTCGGAGTGACGCCTCCCTCTCCTCCAGGAAAAGGTCCGAGGTGTCCTCACCTGCAAACTCCTGAACAGCGACACAATCACAGAAAGCTGCTGTTAGCTACAAGGTTTGAAAGCCATGCTGCTTTTCTACCACAGCAACCGAGATCCTAATTTTTACTGTTAGACTGCTCAATTAACTGCAACACTACTAAACCCCCATTTATTTGTAACAGGGTTAGCATGCACATGCTTTTTAATAAAGTCATTTAAAAGCATGTATTAGGCTCATTTCCAGCATTTCTACATTTTTATATTCTTAGAGATTTACATGAGCCGTTCAGCTCACGTTCCCTTTCTTTGAGATAACTTCCTTCTGATTGGCTGCTGCTCACAAACAAAAGATCTGATCAGCTGATTGGTTGGGCTTCTTGGGATGCCCATCATTCAGATATTCCCTTTCATTTCTTTTCACCCTCTTAGACAAAAAACAAACAAACAACAACAAAAAAAAAAAACCCAACATGCTTGACCTCAGCAATTGATTTAACAGTATTTGATTTACTGACATAATTACCACCTAAATGTCAACTTCAGTGCACAAAAATAAACAACAAAAATAATTATATTAAATAATAAATAAATAATAAATAAATAATAATAATAATCAGACCAATCAGGACACATGACACAACATTGAATGTTTCCAACAGCACCCACAAACCTTCCATATAGTCATGGCCACCTGACCATGAAGTGGCAGGAAAGTGTTATTTGTGGAAACAACAGCTAAGCAGCTAGCTATGTAGTCAGTGATAAGGAGAGACAAAGCTTCCATAGAGGGACAGGCTCCATGTGCTTCAGCTCAAATACACAACTGAGATACACTCAGTCTAACAACTTACACTTTGTGTACCTCCTCAACACTGAAAGGACTACTTAATACACCTCCAATCAAAGTTGCTACAGTCTGACGAGCTCACCTTTATCTGGACGAGGAAGTCCCTCAGATGCTCCTTGAAGGCAGGAATGTCCTGGTTTAAGCTGAACAGCCCTGTCACAAACACCTTCACCTGAGCACTGACGGACAAAACGCACACACACGTAAGCATCGACTGAAAAACAGACTCACTCCAGCAGAGATTATATGTGTAATGTTCACACTCACTCCTGCAGGTGGGGGAAGGCAGTCTTAAGCAGGTTGGCCACATATTCCTGGATGAACACCTGGTTGTTGGTGGGGCTGGCGGGATTCAGCGCTGCAGTGATCTTCCCCTCCTCCACCAGGTTGAACATGTAGGCCAGGATGGACGCGTGCATCGTCAGCCCTGCAGAACACACACACACGCACACACAGAGAAAATGAATCCATCGTCTTTCCCTAATTCCCTCATCTTTGTAAAGCCACATTCAAATTGATTTAGTTCTCTGGGGGAGGTGTTAATATTACCTGGCCTGGTTTAGTGACTTTAATCCAGTTCAGATAATGAATGTGTCTTTTTAAAAATGTTTTGATCCCATCACCAGGAAGATTCAACACTACAATCAACTCCTAAATCAATCAGTACTGAGTAGTGTGTGATCTTTTAAGCAAGAAGTCACTTCCATTTTTCAAACTAGTGCCTTTAAAAGGTTGTACTGAACTACTACAGCCTTACTGTGATCTGAGCCAATGATTTTAACATAAACATGTTCATCTGACCTGCACAGCAGACGCCAACAGTTTTTGAAAGTATAAATATCATTTGGACGACTGCAGATTCAAACAACTGAACGGCATCAATTGTGTGTGAGCTCACCAGCAGTGTGCGATGTGTCAGTGACCACAGAGAAAATGTGCTGCAGGATATCGCAGAAATACGTCTGGTAGAAACTTTGAGCGGCTGCCTCCTCCTGGGCCACATTCTGCAGCAAGGTGTACAGAATCTGCAGACCTGAGCAGCGACAAGACACAAAACAACACAAAATTATAGTTGCACATCCT